CCCCAAAACCCCAAAACCCCAAAACCCCAAAACCCCATGGGAAAGAATTAAGCATTAATATGTTAAATAATAAACCAAAAAATATGAATACTTACCTATTTATTTCTTATTTAGTTTAATATTAAGTTTATTTACCATATATAAAATAAGTACTTACTGAGGATTAAATAAATGAACAACACTTTTATCCTTGATAAGATTTAACAAAAGCTTTCAGACTTAATTAAAAGTGAGAACAAATATACATCCCTCGTAAACTAAGATTAGCCAAAGTATGGATATCGAAATACAATAATAAGAATAGTACTAGCTAACATTTTATTCGTGGGACCTCAACTTCATGTTTGTCACAGTGACAGTATAAATGATTGCATGCTACATTTCCATATGCCTGGCCTACCATATTTTATTCCGATGTGTCTGTTAAGTTTCATTTTATTTCTTTATGAGCTAAAAACCAGAATAAATGATTATCAGATTGATGGAAACTAGTGAAGTAAGAAAGTCATCTTATTTTTTACTGTTGACTTTATAATTTTACTTTATGCCTTTTCCGAAATAAATCCCTCCAGGTTTGGGGGGTTTTATTGTTACTTATTTCTTTTTTTCATTGGATTGTATCTACTTGGCAAATTTATTTAAAATTGCACAAAAAGGATGTGTGACTTCATGGGTAAATTAAGAACGACCTTGATAATATCTTTCATTGTATTGATGAGTATCCGCCTATTATTTTTCAATAGAATCTTTAATAGCTGCGCTAATTGGAAAAAAGGTATATCTAAAGATATTGATGAAAGTCATCGCGACTCTTGCAATTTAGCAAACCTTAAGTACTGTCCCTTTGAGATTACTGATGATATACTTGATCTATCTGCAATTTTTGCTATGCTTAATTGTGAAAATTTTGACTACAGAAGATAACTAATTAAAAAGTACTATCCTTCAGTTAAAGGGCCTTACATCGCTCATCCTTTGACTAAGTACTTTAATGATATACAAAGACTTCCAGATGAATTTCCCGTAGAGGTTTGAAATAATTCAATAGGATATGAGACATTAGAAGAAGCCTTATATAATAAGCATGAAGTAATCATAAATATAGAGAGTGGTTAAATGTACACGAGTGTTTAGAGAAATGAGACACTAATAGAAGAAAGAAGAGAAATTAGAAAGAATTAAAACAGAGGAGATCTTTAATAGCATATGCTACTAGTTTTCATAGACACATTGTCTCGTCCAAGACTTCATGTTAAAATGCCAGAAACTGTTTAATTCCTAAGGGAAAGAGACCATAAAGAGTTTGTCAGACTTCATGCACTTTGGTCCAGAACATAGGAGAACGCTCTAGCATTATTATATGGGATTGTTGAAGATGATCTTGTAAACACTACCAGAGATTATAAAGACAAAAATTCTTCAAAATGGAAAAAGCCAGATGTGAAATTAGACTCTATCTTTGATTATTTTCATAATCATGGATTTATCACAGGATACGCAGCCAACACTTGTGAGACTAATGTATTCTATTGGAGAGAGTTCTTTTTTGAGTACATTAAGAATACTCCCGCTGATCATGAGCATCTTAGTTATACTTGCGATCCTCATCTGAGAGAGCCAACATCAGACGATATTATATTTGTAAGTTCTTATTCGTCTGCTAGAAGATGCTTATATCACCGAGATTCTTATGAATACAATATGGATTATTATAAGAAGTTCAAAAAAGCCTATTCTAGCGAGAACACGATATTTCTGATGAATTTTTTGGATGCTCACGAAGGAATAGGAGAAGCTATAGATTACCTAGACAAACCTCTAGCTAAATTCTTAAAAGAGATGGAAGATGAGAATACAGGACTGATATTATTAAGTGATCACGGATTGCATATGACTGGCCTTAAACTAAAATTTGGTGGAAAATAAGCTGAAATAGAACGTTTCAACCCATTTTTGATAACTTCAAATATACGTGGATTGTCTGTGGAGCATGAAAGAAACCTTGAATTTAATACACAAAAAGTAGTTACTCATATGCATCTAAGAAATTTTTTAATGTTCTGGGCATCAGGACAAATGAATGGAGAAAAAATGAATCTCATAAATAAGCTACCTCATGATAATGATAGATTGTTATGTGATTGGATTGGATATAGATGCATTTGTGAAAATTTCCCAAAAACTGATAGAGCTATGTCTATTGATTGGTGAGAATATAGTAGAGGATTGGTTATTTATACTGGGATGAGTGAGGAACAGTAAAATTCCTTAAAACTATCAAAATGTTTATCATTTACTTTCTTAATCTCAATATAATCCGATCTTGTATAAATACTATGGGGTTTTGGGGTTTTGGGG